GGTTTTTTTGTACATATTAAAATAAATATAAGAGTGTGCAGAAAAAATGAAGTCTGAAATCTATTTTCTAATTATGAATATCATGTGGCCAAAAGACAAAAGGAATAATGAGAGACATCAACAGTCTGACTTGCGTTCCCCCCCCCCCCAGGATTTATGTTTTGTTATATTAATGTTGTTAAGATACTTTAGCTCAGTAAAAGCATCAGTGTGAAAGTTTAGTTCCCCTAGCTGATATTCTCTGAAATCCTATGTACAACAAATATTGTTAATGAGACTTAAACTAAAGAGCAGTCTCTTGTAAACTGTACATTTACATGGGACGTATTGAGGATAACAGAAACAAGTTTTCCAAGCAGTATGACTTCTTCTGATTAACATTAATAACTGCTTAAAACTGTTGGTTTACACCATGCCTACACAACTTGTAGAGGGGAAAGGGCCACATTGATAAATTAAAAACATTTGTGGGCTGCAAAGGAATACTTATACACCAGTCAGTTGTTTGGTGTTTAGTGGAGCAGCAGCAGGGCTGGAGCTGGCGGCATCAGTGAGGCCTGGAGGCTTTGGAGGTGCCTTGGCACCATGTGTTTTGGAGTGGTGGCAGCTCCTTCCTGGCCATGTTTGGTGGCAGTGAATTTATTGAGTTTTTAAAAAATTCCAGCAGCTACACAAGGCTGCTTGGCAAGTTGCATGCGCCCCATGGGCCCTAAATGGTTTAGGCCCAGTTTAGGTAATGTAACAGGGAAGAATTGTAAAGAACCAACAAGACAGGAATTCACTGAAATAAAAAGTACCAAGTACCTGAGAGTTTTAGAAAGCGGTAGTAAGGCTCTATATGAGAAAAGGGAAAAATAATAGTTGCCTGTGCAAAAGAAGGACATAGTAAGGAATTTTCTGCTGATAAATTGTAGGTACGTGAGATTGACTTTACAGGAAGTCTGGATACAAGTTAGGATTCTGGGTATGTGATCAGTAGGGCCAACTGACATGTTTTTTCACATGTGAAGTCATTTGGTGAATTTGACTGATACAAGAAGGTATGCTGTAATCCAGTTGTTCCTTAAAGATGTATACAAGTAGTCTGGGTTACGACGGCAATTGGGACTGAAATTTCTGTTGCTAAGCAATACATTTGTAAAGTGTAACATCACATAACTATATCGCTTAGCAACAGCAGTCCTGGTTGCCTTCGTAACCCCAGGACCACAGTGGGTTGTTAAGTGAGCACCTCACATGACTGCGACATGGGAAGAGGTGGGAGTCCCAGGCAAGTAGGCTGGCAGGTGACACCTACAAATTGGCAGGTGCAGTGAGTGGGCACTATTGAACGTCAGTGGGTGCTGGGGAGTGTGGGATGTGAAAAAGTAGCAGGAGTGGAAGTGACTTGCATGTCCTGCCAACTTCCCCTTTGACTTTGCTTTTGGGAGCTGGCAGGGAAGGTCACAAATGGTAATCACATGACCATGGGACTCTATAACCGTAGTAGTGGCCAGCTGGTTACCAAGCCCCCAAATCATAATCACGTGACTGTGGGGACACTGTGATGGCCAGAAATCTGAGGACTGGTTGTAAGTCCCTGTCATACAGTGCTGTCATAATTTTGAATGGTTGCTGAACAAGAGGTCGTATAGAAGGATTGCTTCCACTTCAAAGAGAGGCTTGCTTTGGTAGGTTCTGTTAGAGGCACTGTTCAATATTGATTTATTCAGGCAAAAAAACCCCATGTTGGGCTTCTTCAATCCTACCCATTGAACTCCTGGCCTTTTTTCCTCTTTTTTTCTGATAGAACAAAGGCAAAGAGAATGTCCTGTCCCAGGCCTGGCACGCAAACACAGACATGCACAAAGGAGTACAGTTCAAAGCTTTACTTGGCTTGAGTAATTACAGCAGCTGCAGGCAGGGCATGTATGCAGACATACACACAGTTTCAGACAGTCCCAAATCCCTTGGAAACTTATAAGCAGGATCCCAGTAAGCAAACGTTCCAAGTAGCGGGCAGAAGTGTCGTCAGGGCACAGTCTAGAGGGCCTAGAGTCTTTGGAGGTTGTCAGCAAAAAGCACAGAGTTTCCACAGGCAAGAGTTCAGTCTGCAACAGTCAGAGGTTCCAGTAAACAGAGCGGTTGTTCCCAGTGAAGGATTGCTTGCTCGTGATGGCTCTAATATAGAGCCCCACCAAGTGTAAGCAATCACCAGTGGGAATGCCCTTGCCTTGCAAGGGGCTGTGCAGACCTCCTCTGTCTGCCCTTTGCTCAGCCCTACATGCCCAGAAGGTCCTGGATCACTCTTCATCTGCTGCTGCTCCCAGCTGCTTCACAGGCTCTGCAGCCAAATCAACTCCAGGTTTCTCCCTGCTGCTCTCTGAGGCAGGCTGTTCTTCCGCAGGGTCCTCTGAAGTAACCTCAGGCTCCTCAGAGGCTGGCCATGTCAGAACTGGCCATGACATAGAGCACCTAATACTCAGTAGCAAAGATCACTTATAAAACTGTGTGTTTCCTACATGTTGTTTTTCTGTACTGAAGAACAGTTCTGTTTTCATGTTCAGATGGTATTTTATGTTTTCTGTTAAATTGATATATTTAATTTTTATAGTTAATAAATAACATTTGATAAGGATTTATAGTGGTCAGTTAACAATGTGTATATATATGTAAAGTTAGAAAGTAAATTTGATAAAAAAGACAGTCTGATTTATTTTTATACCCTTTTAAATATGTAAATTATGAAAATGCAAATCATTTGATTACTGTATAATGGCACCTTTTTGACTGATTGCAAAACTTCAATTAATGTTGTATTTCTCATATATGTGTAATTTAGTAATTATACAAAGCTCTAGTGATGCATTATTTAAGTGTAGATCTGCAGAGGTAAAGTGATAGAATCTTCCAAAATAAGTTCCTTTTTCTTTAAAACTACAAAGGATTTCATTCAGCATTTGACACTGAGCAAAATCCTTTACAATGCTAAATATGTTTAGAAGAATATGCAAAATGTTCTAAGCTCAAAACTTTTTGAGATTGAAATGCTTGGAGTAGCTACTGAGTTCAAAACATTGGTATTCAAAGAATTTTCTCCTTACCTTGAAATAAAAACACACTGCTTTGAGTTTGGGACAAAAGTGGGCCATTTTAAACTCATAGTGAGTATTCTAAGGGTTTCAAGTTCTGTTTTGTTCATTGTTGTGTATGGCTTGGTTTTCCGTACCCCCACCCCACCCCCTTTGCTGTAACAAAGATTAGTTCCCTACCTGCTGTTGTTGGGTAAGACTAGTTGAAAGGAGAAGGGAGTGAGACTGAAGCAGCAACAGCAATTATTTGAGCATTTGCTCAGAAGCAGATGTGTTGATTCTGGGTTCCAGACATTGATATGTCTGGTTCAGTTAGTCAATGTCTTGCTTACATTCAGAGGTAATACTGGGCAGATGATCCCAAGCATGAAAACTGATAAAAAGTGGTCTCACTTGCCTGATTGCTGGGTAGTTTTTCAGATTATAAATTGTTAAATACAGAGACTGTGTTACTTTAATTTGTTTGTTAAATGCTGCCAAATCAAGAAGTGCACTTTGTGCTTATGAATTAGGAAGAGAATGTTTTGTGTTGCTGCTGTTGTTCATGGGCTGTGTAAAAATGAATCATAAGATATCATTCTTTACTGAAATTCACTGGTTGTTTGTGTAGTAAGACTAGAAAGAATGCATCTGAAATTTTGTTTTCATTGTTTTCTACTGTATTTTTTTTAAGTTTTCACTTTTGTAAAAATAAATAACAACAATATTGGACAACTTTTCTGTAGGTTAAATAATAGACAGCAATCAGTGTAGAATACCACCAAAACTAATTGAATGGTTTTGGAGAAAAATGAGGGAGCAAAAGGCTTGTTTCAGGTCTCATTGTTCCATATGGGACAACAATTATGAAATTTTTGCTCCATATGAAATACAAAACAACATAGGTAGCTTTATTCTTTTGAAACCTAGCATTTTGGAATGTTTCAAAACAAAAAGCCCTTTCAATTTCATGCAATTTTAATATTTGTATTATCATAAATAATAATATCAAATAATATCTCTTACTTATTACAGTTTTAAACTTTAGAAACATATTTTTGCAAGCTATGTTTATGAACTGCTAAGTAAAAAGGAATAGGATAATCTTGGAACACTATAAATGTTAATATTTTTAATACATTGATGCAGTGAAAGTTAATAAATTCTCTTATGTTTTCTGTTTTCCTCCCCATATTACTTTTTTGGTATTCCCAAATTCTTAGGCAACATGAAACTGTTATACCTAGTGAACTACCACTCATTCAGGAGGTTACCACTACACTACGGGAATGGTCCACAATATGGCGACAGCTTTATATTGTAAGTATTGTAGGTTCTTTAGAGTGCTTCTTTGTAGGGTAACCAAGGAGCTTAATCCATAAACCAGTCAAGCTAAAGAAACCAATTAAATATACCCCAGTAATTTGAAATAATTGCTAAAAACAGGAATATACTTTATATATTAACTTTCTCAAGTAGAAACTCCTTTATTTCCTATTAAAAAGATAATCTGTATGGCAGGCCTGTGAATCACAATTACCCAAAACATGCTACTGTCCTGGGTAGTTGTACTGTTCTAGGTAAAAAGATCTGTGGATTGTCTGTAGATAAGGTAATTTAATTTGCTCCTAGAATATAACTACTGGACAGAATAGGAAAAGCCACCAACAGGCCAGCCTGTTCCCTTATTGAACAGCTCTTACCTTTAAGAATTTTTTCTTGATGTCCAGTTGAAATCTACTTTCTTGGAATTTAAATTCATTGTTTCATCTCCTGGAATGACTCTGAACAATTTAGCCTTGTCTTCTACAAATACTTGAATATAGCTATTGTGTCTCCCCATAGTCTTCTTTTCCATGTTAAGTATATCCAAAGCTTCTAGTCGTTCTTCATATTTTTTTTTCTGCCAGACTCTTTATTACTTTGGTTGATCTCTTCTGGGCGTGCTTATATTTATCAGTATCCTTCCTAAAATGTAGTGTCTAAAAAAGGACTCAATATTCTAAGTGCACTCTGATTAATATAGAATATAGAGAAACAGAGGAAATTATAGTAGATTAAAAAGACCTGACGTTAATTTATGAATTTAATTCTATTACTTGTGTGAGTATCAAAAACACCTGGAGAATAAAAGCATCCAGTTATAGCCAAGGCAATCTTCATTTCTGGATTTCCTTCTATATCACACCTTGAATGTGTAATTTTATTGCTGGATCTTGCATCAAAAGATGCGGTTTTACCAAATATTCTTTTCCTTTTCCAGTTTAGATGAAGGGAATGAATCAGCTTACTTTCTTCTTTTCTTACTACTGCTTAGTTTTATGCTGTGATGCATATCATCTATATATGTCCTGGAAGACATTCCAGTATTAATAATTAATTATAACCTAGATTTGCTTAGACTGACAGTCAACGAATATTAGGTCTTACATCAGACAGCCCAACTAATTGTAACAGAATTCTAACTGTCAGTGAGAGTTTGTCCTGTCTGATTCTATTGTGAGGGATGGATGTCCTCTGAAAGAACTGGTCCCCCTGGACCAAATAATACATCACTGACAGATAATTATATTTTATATGCTATTTAAATCCAAAATGATAATAATCATTTTGATGCAGTTAATTCTGCACCTTTATGTGCATGTAACTTTGCTAGTCCAGCTGAAGATATTTTGATTATGGCTAAGATAATATATCTGTCATTTCTAATTTCACTAAAAATATTGCAAGCCTATATGTCAAATAACTTGTTAAGGTGTCATGCCTTGCAGAAGAAAAACAAGTTAAAAGTTCAATAAAAATAAATGAGGAATGTAGGATAAAAAAGTAACACCTATTTTTTAAAATTAGCCCACTTAAAATGCCTTCTCATGATAGAATACAGAACTTGAACCTAAATCTCCTCCTGAAAACACAATTCAAAATGTTCTTTTACAGGTTTCTAGCAAATGAATACAGTTTTAATTTTTATTGGACTACTAATTCTTGGATAATAGATAAATTACTTCTGGTTGATTTCATGTGTAATATTTCCCCATCTGACATTCTCCAAGAAATAAAAATGGTTTGGGATGAGAGGTGATGACCTACAAAGTCAAATAATAAACTTCATACCTGAAGTTATATAAATCTGATTCCACACTTACCTTTTACTTCTGATCTATATTGGTTTGGTGGTATATTCCTGTATAAGAAAAGGCAGTATGATCAGTAAGAGAACTAACATGTTTTCTTCTCATACAGCAAGACAACAGAGAAATGTTTCGTAGTGTAAGACATATGATATATGATCTTATTGAATGGCGGTCGCAAATATTGTCTGGAACACTACCCCAAGATGAGCTCAAAGAGCTGAAGAAGAAAGTCACAGCAAAGATTGATTATGGAAACAGGTTTGTGATGACTAGAAACATGCACATATTTCCTTGTTTTGTTTTTTTTGCTTTGATGATTTTTCAAGCTTCTGTTTATGTACCATATATTACATGTACTTACATTTATACAGTAATATAGAAGTAGCCTCTCTGTCTTGATTGCTAAAGAAAGTATATCAAGATTCACAGTTTTCCAAATATGTGTTATTTTTCCTAGCAGAACTCAGCAAAAGTAATATGTAAAGAAGTTTTATTTATTACTTGTCTATCCAAAATTAGTCAATTCAAAACTATAGCTATGCATTGATTTTGGAACTAAATAATATGTGCTAAGATAATATGCACATAACCAATTAATTAGTTCAGATCCCCAGCTGCAGTAATAAACTATGACTGGCATTTAGATAAGATAGCTATAAATAGATTTCTTAAATGCTTGAAGAGTAATTAAAATCTATTAACTTTAACTGATCAATTAGCAAAAAAGATTTTAACCATTTTCAACACAACCTGTATCAAGTTAGAAGACTATAATAAAAATACTACAATAAACTTAATCACCTGCTTGGCAATCAGTCATTGCAACATCTATAAATAATTTCCAGGCTTAAATAGCAAATCTGACCATGCTAAACAATATATCACAATCAGAAGAAAATTTCTCAATATGTACAATTTGCCTGACTGTAATCTAAGCAATTTTTTCTTTGACATATACCATTGTACATGAAGTAAATTTCAACTATTTTACAAACCCACAGATATATATGTAGAGATAAATCAATGCACAGTACAATTTATGCTTTCCTTCTGGCTATTTCTAGACATAAACATTTATAATGTCTTTAGTAAATGCTATGTGAAAAATACAAAATAGTCTTTCCTCCTCCCTGTTCTTTTTCAGAAATATTGTAAGGCAATCTTTTAATTTTTTGGGGGTATTATATATATATGTTATACCAAATGACAGATAATAATTTTGTTCAGCCTGAGTTTCAGAATGTGTGGTGCTGTCTAGCTAATGGAGAGATTAAAAATAACATAAGGGAAGCTTTAAATGAATCGGAATAACATTCTGTGGAAGATGCCATATTAGGAAAGCTGTACAGGTAGTCCTCAGGTTACAACAGCAATTGGGACCAGGATTGCTATTGCTAAGCAATGCAGTCGTAAAGTGCGACGTTACATGACCGCATCACTTAGCGACAGCAATCCAGTTAGTCCTGGTTGCCGTTGTAACCCCAAGATGCATGGGTCATTAAGTGGGAAGCAGTGGGAATCCCAGGTAAGGAGTGCAGGGGTGCCACTGGGAGGTGGGAGAGGCCCTGGGAGGCCCAGCGCAGGCTGCTCAAGAGTTGGGGGAGGGGGTGCTATGATGTGGTGCGAGTGCGGGGAGGTTGAGAGAAGGAGGGCACAACAAGGTGCATAGGAAGGCCAGGGAGGGGCTTACCAGAGCGACTTCTGAACTTCCCTGCCAACTTCCCCATTGACTTTGCTTGCGGGAAGCTGGAGGGAAGGTCGCAAATGGTGATCACATGATCATGGGATGCTGCAACCATTGTAAGTGCGAGCTGGTTGCCATGCGCCCAAATTGTGATCATGTGACTGTAGGGATCCTGCAATGGCTGGAACTTTGAGGACTGGTCGTAAGTACCACTCATTCAGCACCATCACAACTTCAGATGGTTGCTGAATGAGTGGTCAGTGAGCAAGGACAACCTGTATTTGATCTGGTGCTTTTCTGAGATAACAGATCATTTATTTGTTTAAGTACTTTTGCCTAACTTTTCTGTTTAAAAAGTGGTTGTGTACTTTAATAAGATAGATTCTGTCTATCTATCTATCTATCTATCTATCTATCTATCTATCTATCTATCTATCTATCTATTTCAATAACCAAATTAACAAAAAAGAGGCAATTTATTAGAACTTTGTTTTGATTTTTTTTTTCTTCTCAGTTGTACTTCTGCTGTTTGGAAGTGACAGTTTAGAAAAATTATGTGGAAATATGACTGAAATATTCTAAATGACATTGCCCCCTCTAAAGCCCCTCCCTGACTTCTGAGTACCTTAACCTAGTTAAATGTTCCTCCTCCATTCTGGTTAAAGCCTAAAGGATTTTTATCAGCAATACCTGATAAACTCAAAGTCTACAGAAGATAGGATATGCACATTATATGATGCATATTTTATGTTGTACCCCTGTTCCTGTTCCTATACCCTATACTGTTAGTATTTGTAGTGGTCATAGGGAATGGTCTTGAAGGACGAGCTGCTACCAAAGCAGTGGTCAAATAAGTGGAGCTTGAGACTGTTCCAAGAAACTAATTTGAGAAATGTGTTGGGCCCTTCCCTACTTCATTCAAGGATGAAGAGGCAGGGGGTGGGGAAGAGGAGCAAATGGAGACTTGCAAGATTCTGTTACTGTAGCTGTTACAATAAAAGTAGTCCTGACCTACACGGCGTTGGTTTCTTAGTCTGATCTACCTTATAGGGCTGACAGTATTTCAGAATTTCTATTTCTTTTTCACTAAGCACTGCAGTGTTTTGGATTTCTTCTGACAGTGTACTGAAGCCCTTCAGAAATTCTGAATTATATAATTCATTTTCTTAAATATAATTTTATTGAAAGTTTTAAAAACGAGTAAAAATTAATACAAACTAAAATAGAATAAAAAAGAAAAAACAAAAGGAAGAATTAAAAAAGAAAGTTAAAATGTAAAAAGAGAAGAGAAAGAAGAAAAGGTAGAAGAAACAAGAGTAAAAATTAATACAAACTAAAATAGAATAAAAAAGAAAAAACAAAAGGAAGAATTAAAAAAGAAAGTTAAAATGTAAAAAGAGAAGAGAAAGAAGAAAAGGTAGAAGAAACAAGAGTAAAAATTAATACAAACTAAAATAGAATAAAAAAGAAAAAACAAAAGGAAGAATTAAAAAAGAAAGTTAAAATGTAAAAAGAGAAGAGAAAGAAGAAAAGGTAGAAGAAAAATAGAAAAGAAAGAAGAAAGATATAAGGCAGTGGCTTCCAATCTTCTTTACAACAGTTATAAGTACATTTATAAATATACCTCTTACTCTGTGGTTGCAACATAACTCTCTTCTTTTTATAATCTATCTTGTCTAATCATCAAAACCATAAATCATAGGTTTATTTTTTTTCTGTTTTATGCAAAAAGTCCATAAAGGATTTCCAGTCAGCAATAAACATATTGTCTCTTTTTGGCAATATGTTTTGAACAAAGAAGTCAATTTAGCCATTAGAATTTAGCTGCACAGAATAATCTGCTAGATTAGATAGACAGATAGAATCTGAAAAAGGTACAAAGAAATATGATGTATTGTTTTATTTTGTCTGGTTTAAATGTATTAAAAAGGACCTTTGATCACCTACTCCAAATTGATTATTTTAGTTTATAATTATGTGGATTGGAGGCAGAGGGACTTAATTGCAGAGTTTTTGAGCAGATATTATGTTAACCATGGTGTTGTGGTGCATGTTTTCCTTTCCATACAGAATTCTGGATTTGGATCTAGTGGTAAGGGATGAAGATGGTAACATATTAGATCCAGACCAAACCAGCACAATCAGCTTATTCAGAGCTCATGAAACAGCTTCCAAACAAGTGGAAGAAAGACTGCTGGAAGAAAAAGTGAGATACAAAATAATTTCTCCAAACTGATATTATGATAGTGTCTCTTAGAGCTGTTCTACATTTAGCATAGGAGGCATAAATGAAGGTGACTAGGAATTAGTTAATTAATTATACAACTGTACCCCAATCCATATACACTTACAAGAGAAGATTTATGTAATTGATTATATCACTATATTTTTAAAATTTTGTAGTAATTGCAGAATATAGTATATATATATTTTCTTTTTTTCTCTTGTGTTGTAGTCTCAAAAGCAGAACCTTGACATTAGTAGAGAAGCAAAATTTGCTGCAACACCTTCATTTGCATTATTTGTAAATCTGAAAAATGTTGTTTGCAAAATTGGAGAAGATGCTGAAGTCCTTATGTCTTTGTATGATCCTTTGGAATCCAAGTTTATCAGGTCAGTGCTTTAACAACTCTTGTACTTGCTTTAGAACCTCACAAATCTCAAAGGTATGAAACAGATTTTATGTAATATATATTAACATGAAAAAGACAAAGAGGCTGACTGGGAACCAGTGCTATTGGTCATTAGCTACAAATTGTCTGTGGAAATTTCTTAAATCATCCTGTCTCCATGAAAGCTTGCAATGCTATTTACCATTTTTCTAGTTGGTGGCATTAATGGGATCTTCTGGTCCTGGTATGCCATTACTTTTTACAACAAGAACAAGACAACAAGTAATTTTTCTTGTGGAGTTTCCAGTTTGTTTAATATAAGACATAGAAAATGTGATGTTAAAAGGTTTGGAACTTTTATAATGCATATTCAGTATCCTTTGTTATTGCATCCCCGTATAGTTGCATCATGCAAAAGAATAAATTCCGTTAAACAAAATCTTCTGTGCATTCTTTTTTGAAAAGGATGGATGTTTTTCTCATCTTAAGACAGAATAAGAATTATAATAGTCAGCATCAGAGATCTGCTTTGAGAGCAGACAAGATGAAAGCTATGAAACAAAAGATACATTAAGGTATAAATGATTATTAAAATAGGTATAGTGCTTTTTGTCTAAAATCTGTATTTTAAAAAATTATGCAGTAAGTTGATGTATCTCTAGAAAATGAATTTGAGAAGGCTGTTTCGAATTTATTTTCTTTTAGACATAGCATGCTGCTAATCCTTTTTTGTTGGTGCATTAAGGTGAAAAAAAAAAACGAGGCTCCTCCTTGCATTCCCAGTCCATTTTTATTTCTGTAATAATTAGAAGAAAAAACTTATTGTGTCCATATATCCATTTTCTACTTTGATCTGAGATGGAGGTTTGTGTGTTTATGTGTGTGGGTGTGTATGTATGGTTAACTAAAGAAAAAATTAATACATTTTTACTTTATTAACTGTAAACCACCCAGGGTCATTGGGCAACCTATAAATTGTCTAAATAAATAAATCTGGTTTACATCAAACTCTGAGTAGCACCTCAATATATTTGTGTAAATATGTTAATATATTTTAATGTAAAACTGCTTTTGCTTTTATTAAGTCACAGTCAAATGTTATTTTTATTTGCATAGTGAGAATTATCTGGTGAGATGGTCAAGTTCTGGTCTACCAAAAGACATAGATAAATTACATAACCTTCGAGCAGTCTTTACGGTAAATATCCTTTTTACATTTGTGATACTTACATTATCTGCTTGCTTTAATATTTTCCATGTTGTACAAGAATATGTACTTTGCATACAAAGAGCCTTAGGTTAACTTTTTGGTAGCAAAAGAATTGGGAATGACTCCTTTAAATATTGCATAAATTAAAAGAAAGCCAAAACTAGAAATTTAATTGCCGTGACGGCTAGGAATTTTGGGTCCAAATATATCTGCTCTTAATAAAGTTAGAGGCTTTGGGAAAATTTGGCATAAACAATAAAAAGTTATGAACATTTGGCCATGTAAAAAGGATTTTAAAAACAAAAAAATGACATCTGAGAAGGCTAAATAGTAATCTATGAATTGTAAAATAGAAGTGTGAGAGTATTTCGTAAGGAAACATTCACATTTCTAGGACCTTGGCAGCAGTAAAGACCGGAAGAGAGAGAAGATCAGTTTTGTGTGTCAGATTGTACGAGTTGGTAGAATGGAACTAAGAGAAAACAACACAAGGAAGCTAACTTCTGGGCTACGGCGACCTTTTGGTGTAGCAGGTAATCCATCCTTCTTACATACATTGTCAAAATGAATTCCAAATAACAGCAGCTGCTGGGGATTGAACAAATACTGATTTGACATATTGTAATTTCAAAAGTAATGTTCAATCTTTTTGTAGCATTACATTTTTTTGCATATTGGGACCAGAATTTCCATCACTAAGCAATTGTAAAATGCAACTGCATTGCTTAGCAACAGCAAACCTTGCAGTCCCGGTTGCCATTATTAACTGAATCCCACAGTTGTTATGTGAGACTGTGCAACTTCCTGCTGGCCTCTCACAACCCAAATCAGCGGGGAAGCCAGCAGGAAGTTGCAAGTCCCAGGTCTGCAGGCAGGTAAGTGGCTGCCAGGTGTGAAGGGGAAGTGAGATGGTGTGGGGAAAGGTCGGGGAGAGTGTGTGAGAGGCGCAGCAGAGATCAGAGAGGGTGCAAGGGGTGTGCAACAGGTGCCAAGTGGGTCAGGGAGAGTGCACAAGGATGTGAGGGGTTGCCCAAGAGGTGCTGCACAGGTTGGGGAGGGTGCACGAGGAGAGATTTACCCCAGTGACTTGCCACCTTCCTTGCTGGCTTCATCATTGACTTTCTGGAGAAGCTGGCAGGGAAGGTTGCAAAGGATGATCACATGATCATGGGGCACTTGGCAACCGATTGTAAGTGTGAACGGGTTGCCAGGCACCCAAATTGCAGTCACATGACTGGGAGTGCTGGGATGGCCAGAACTCCGAGCACTGGTTGTAACCACCATTTGTTTGCTGTCATAACTTGGAATAATGACTGACCGAATGGTTGCAGGTTGAGGACTACCTGTATTAGATGTGAAAGTTGTTAAAGAATTGGCATATACTCTTTGCTGCAGGAGACAATTGAGACAATATCGTTATAGAGCAGCAAGCCTAATTGCTGCCTAAAGCATAAAATGCTCACCTTCCACAATGAAGAAAGAAAGGGTAGAGAAATAATGCTCTGTAAAACTGACTTTGGGATTAGCTTATAAAAGGCCAAGCAGTATTTACCAGTAGATTAATAACAAATCTTTTTTAAACATAAACTCTGGCCTTTGTCACTTGTCAAAAGACTAAAGGCCACTGAGAGGACTTGCTACCCAAGAGGAACATACAGTTAATGGCAATAGGGAATCTAGTTTGCCTCAATTCATTGGCCCCAGAAAAAACAGCTGCAATGAGGTAGCTTCTGCACTTCCTCCCAGAAAGAAAACTTTGATTCTACTGTCCTTTACCCAAGCATGATGCAGCTGAAGGCATCCAAATTGTGGCCTTTGCCACTGGACAGAAGACTGTGGCCAAATCTCTTGTTTCCAAAGTAGAGTTTCATAGTAATGGGGCTCACTCTGGCTCAATGCATTGTTCTTTTCTCTGAAGGATAAGAGAAAAAAGGTAAGAACATTTCGAGAACACTTTGACAAGGTGTTTGCCTTTCTCATGAAACACAACTGTGGTTTTGTTTTTCTGGCTTTTGCTGGTTTCTATCAGTTTTATAGCTTTAACTTTTAAACATTATTTTAGATAGATATAAACAGATATGGATGTAGATGTTGATATAGATATAGATAGTATATCCATTGGTTAATTGCAATGAATACCCATTGCTACTTTCAGAAGATCCCACCTTGTTTTACTGATGTGAGTGAAGCAAGGTTATCTTTGAACGGAGAAACACATCTTGCTATAAAATAATTCAAAGCCGTCTATCATCATCACTCTTCGCCACTCTTTTCCATTATATTTTAATCTTTAATGATGCTTGCTTCTTTTTGAATTCAGTGATGGACGTAACTGACATAATTAATGGGAAAGTAGATGATGAAGACAAGCAGCACTTCATTCCATTTCAACCGTAAGTACAAAGTAATGCAGAAAAATAATCAGGGCTGATATCAGGAATAGTTGGATTATGATTCTTCGTTAAAAATAAACTCCCAAGGTTCTGAAAATGGGAAGAATAACAAACTAAATGGGTAGGACAGTTTTGGAAGAAAACATGGTTTTCTTCGGAACTAACCTATGTTGTTAAACAAATTCTCCTCAAAGACTTAAAGAGCCAGCTCTGAATTTCTTTATAAAGTTTATCTATCTTTAATGTTTCTACAGGCAGAACCTGCATGCAGACAAAGCTCTCTGTATTGTGCCACGAGTTTGTGAATTCATTATATATTTAACTATGCAATTCAACATCTTGAATTGTTAGTATCATTCTTGGATAGGAATCAGAAAGCTGTTTTGTTTTTTCAATGAAATGAGATCTGTGTGCATAAAATATTTGGACTAGGATGAAAGCTTGAATGCAAGATTTAAAATATAAAGTAAATGGAAAAAAATGCTAACAACATGAATGTAAATTGCTTAGATCCTGGAGCAGAAATGTGAGAACGCTGATCCCCAGGGTATAATGGAATACAGTCTACACTCTATGACTAGTGGCTAGTGATGGAGTAGAAGAATAGGGTCATATGTTCCATAAGCTTAATATTGAATGTGTTTGCATTTTTAGTAATATAAATCGTGCAAAATTAGCTACTTGTGTGCATCTGTAATAGCATATTCTGTTTAAATAAATAAAAACATTAAAATAATATTATAAACTGAAACCCTCAATGAAAGGAGAAACTTGGGCTTGAGACAGATGAAGCAAAACTTCACTTGCTTGATTAATAGTTTCTTGGTGATATATTCTTAAAGGATTCTAATAGTATTATTTTGTGTTATATTATCAGTTGTGTGTATATATATTTCTAAAATACCTGCATTTCTAAAAGCATGCAGGTTAAAAATGAAATGAGGTACTTTGTGGATCTTGGAGATTTTTGAAATAAAATATTTTCCTTTCATGTTTTATAGCTTTCTTTTTTAATGTAATGCTTAATTAAAATGTCCTTCAGAAAAAGTTTGTATCAGGAATGAATTATGTACAATTATGAATACATTTTTCCAGAATGAAGGCTTTCCTGTTACTTATTTATTTTGTATTGTGTCTTTGTTGTGTAACTTGGTATTTTTATTTCCATCTGGTGGTTTTTGGATGCCAGTGAAAAAATACACATGCAACAGCTGTCATTAAACATTGGGCGAAATTGCTGTGGGATAGTAGATGACATTTTTCTAAATACTACATTTCATTTGTTACTTCAATATTTTCATCCTCTCCATCATGTAGCAAAATTGTTTCATGGGTTTTCTTGATTCTCTCCCACCCCACTAAGCTACTTTTATTTGCAGTAGCTTTCTGCCTTTTGTTATTTGTCGTTAAGCTTGTAGTCAATTCATTTCACCCCTGAAACTGGGCTTGACCATTCCATGGGGTGGTATGTTTTACATTTTGATGTTGTTATTTTATATGTAACTTTTTCAAGCTTTTCATCTCTATTCTACATGCTTCTATGAATAAATCTGGATGATGTTTTTTTCTGGAATCATAAATTCACTTCTCCTTAGTAGTTTCCTGATTGATTATCTTTCTATGTCTTCCTTTTTTTCCTTTGTCTTGTGTTGACTAACAAATACTCTTTGTCACCTATGTGATACACTCTACTGTGTCTTTGTTACTATGACTTCTGGTTTTCTGCCCCTTCCATCTTTGTTACCTTTTGGTGTTGGTCGTCATGTGCATTCTCCAGGCTAGCATTGGATAACACCATTCGACACAAGCAGCTGAACATATCATCCCGTTTTTCACCCAGGGTGGCAGGGGAGAATGATTTTCTTCAGACTGTAATAAACAAAGTGATTGCTGCTAAAGAAGTTAACCACAAGGGTCAAGGTAGGTACTTTCCTTTCCTTACATTGTTAGCATTAACAATGATTAGGAAAGTAATCAATTTTGTACCAAATGTATTGAGTTTCTCTTAGCATGGAAACAGTTTCTTGTTTCTGAATTGCCACTCCTTTGCATCATGAAGAATGATGATCATTCTGTTGCTAGAAGCCATGTTTTAAAATAAGTATTCATCATTTTTGCATCTTTCACTGACATGTAATCATTCATCATTTCATTAATTTACTTTTATCTTTTTACAGTAAAAAATCTTAATGGGAGGTCATGGTTAGTTGGCTGTACCAAAAATAATAAATCTACCAGAGCCTTATGTATATAACTTTAAGACGCTACATGCTTTTTGTTATTGAGATTATTCTTTAATTCTCTTGCCCTGTTTATAGAACCTGGGCATGGAATGTAGGAACCCTTTTCAAGATATTTTAGAACTAGCTGCCTGCTTGTGGTAAATTTTACTTAAAAGTTACTTAAAAGGCTAGAAAGCCAAAGGATTCTGTTAATTTTCTCTCTGAATCACTGCCACAACTTATAAGTTCTTGTAAAATAAATTAAACATGGAATTTAAAAAAAAATAGTGATGAAATAATCTCATAAGGCCATCTTGTCCACAATTCCTGAAATAAGGCAAGTTATAGTGATTAGTAGATGAACACACAAAAAGTCACTCATTTATTAGCCACTATTCTGACAATGGTTACTGGGTCACAACAGCTTAAAAAGATGACTGCATATTAATCTCTACCAAAGGGCATTCTACATTGCAATTGATCCCCTACCCTCTTTAAAATTAGATAATTTTAGTATGAATTATATAAGACTCCTTGGAGGCTGGCTGCACTGTACAGAAAAGAAAAATAAATGCAATCCTTACAGATTAGAGTACAGACTTGAAATCTAAGTTTAATTAGAAACATGGGTAGATATAAAAACCAATGTGTATACAAAAGCTTCTACATAAGTAATGTAATTAAACAACTATATTATTTTGAAAGGGGACATTACATCAATATATTTTTTTCTCAGCACCATCTTTATGTTAGAAATACTGCTTTTTAATTTTAGAATCTCAGGCTGAATTGTTCATAAATATTGAAAATATTTGTGTACTTATGTTTAAACAGCTATACTTAACTAATTGTCCCTGCAGTATTACTCATTTCATTGGCCCCAGGTATTCTTATTGTAAGGTTTATTTATACTGCATAGTCTGTGTTCAGTTCATCTGGTTCATTTTTCTCTACATAATAATTACATTTTTCAAAGATGGCATTTTTTCCCTCCTTCCTGTACTAATATGAATAGTGGAAGGTTCAGGCTTGGCAAACAAGAGGAAACAGTTTTTCTTATAATATATAGTTGAATTATGGATTTCAATTGAACAAAAGTAGGGTGGCTGCGGTTTAGATACCTCTTAAAAGGAATTTAAATGAGATAAAAATAAAAGTAGGTATTACAGTATTATATGGTCCCAATACTGTGTTTCAATTCAGGAGAACTATAACTCTGATTTAGTTAGTAAGGAAGAGCAGCCAAAATATGGAATGACATTATTTATTACCTAAAATAAATAGATTTTTCTTTTTGTCTGAACTCTGCTTTTATTCTTATATTTTCCCATCTTATTAACATTTAAAAAACAACAAATATGTCAGACTATATGTGAAACCCTTAGCTTCTGAAGTAATATTTTGTACTAAATTCTACAGGTCTATGGGTGACACTGAAACTTCTTGCAGGAGACATACATCAAATACGAAAAGAATTCCCTCACTTAGTTGATAGGACCACAGCTGTGGCACGGAAAATGGGTTTTCCAGAAATTATTATGCCTGGTAAGTTTATACAATTACAGAATTGGAAATGTTGGTATAGAACAGGCATAGACTGAGTCATAAAATTGTATTAAATAGTATTTGGAGAAATTAAAAGGTTGCTTGTTCTCAAAAATACAAAGTCTGAACTTATTTCAATTTTATTTGGATTGTTTACCATCAAGAAAACTTATTTAGTGAAGTTCTATCTGTCTTTCCTTTGAGATAAAGGGCATAACTCAGAATTTGTACTTGTTTATGAATGTGCTGTATCAATAGGAATCATTTTCATTTGTCATGCATAGCAGGCCTTCACTTATTCAAAGCATAGATAATTCTTTATATGTGGATTGGAAATTATGTGTCATTCCTAAAATGTTATTTTGGTTTAGATGATAGTTGGGAAAGTTACGCTATTCTGCTGCATTCAACACTCTGAAACACAGGCACATGCAAAGTTAAATAATGCCTGCTATTCTAGCATGCATTCTCTGTAAATGTAATTATTATAGCATAGAGGAAAGTGTAACAAAAAACAGATGATAAATCATAAGCCACATGTGTCTTAAAATTTGTTTTCTATTTTTGTAGGATACTGATAAATGGTAAAATATTAAATTGGTGACTTGTTCTCTTTCATTTTCAGGTGATGTCCGTAATGATATCTATGTAACATTAGTTCAAGGAGATTTTGACAAAGGAAGCAAAACTACAGCAAAGAATGTAGAGGTTACAGTATCTGTTTATGATGAAGATGGGAAAAAATTGGAGGTATTTTTGTGGAAAGTTGATACCTGATTTTGGGCTAGTTCAAAATGATGTGATTGATTGACTACTCAAATACTGTTAAATCATAGTTAAATATTTGTAAAGCATGAATCTACACACACACACACACACCCCTACATAACCTTAATAATTTAATGCCTCACTTGCAGTATTTTGCCATGCTGCCAGTTATTTCAAGAATACTATTTTTACAACTTGAATCAGAACTTCACAAAATCTTGTGAAATTACATTACATTATTTGGGTTCCTACTAGGTGAAATTATAGCTGTGTTTATCCTCTGTTCTTTGTCATCTTTAAAGATAACTGTAGATGACCACAGAGAAGGTTTGCAAATCTATTTGATTTTCTCCAAGTGTTGCAGTATTAGAAAACAAGCTTCCTTCATTCCTTTCCTTATTAACTAATTACATGGTAGTTAAAGATATTCTTGAGTTCTTGGAGTATACATCCACAATCAATCATTGTTACTGTATTTATGACATTTGGTTGGGTCAGTTGACCTAGGTATCAGTTCCACCGAAAGCATTTGAATGTGTAGGAAAGCATTATGAATGTTCACATCTTTGTTACATATTTTTAAGATTTAAGTTCCATGTATTACAAAAATGTTTTCTGCTTATCATTATATTTCAATTATTTCAATGCCATTATATCTGCATTTAAATGTTAATCTTTATTTTGATTGTCTCTTAAGTATACAGTAGTGACAGCATTTGCTTATACCTGGAACTGCAACATTGATTTCTGCTTTTTTTCCTTGTTTTAAGAATGTAATTTTTCCTGGGGCCGGAGATGAAGCTCTTTCAGAATATAAGTCTGTTATATATTACCAAGTAAAACAACCCCGCTGGTTTGAAACTATAAAGGTATGCTTGGCATTAAGGTTTCTTTTTAAAAGAAATGGACAAGAGAGATGGAGAATGTATTGGTATCCATGCCAGAATAACTTTTGTATGTTGCTAAGGAACAGTATAGATGAAGCCATTGACTGACACACACTCTTTTTGTCTCTTTTTGATCTTCCAGTCAAGGTAGCTTGGATAGATTTATTTCAACATCTGCGTCTTACTTTTCTTGTATTAGGTCGTAGAGCTATGCAATACTTTGTCTTTGATTCCTAAAGATGCTTTGGAACATGCAAGGACACAGACATAGCACCTGTTTGCTACATATACACCGTGATACACTCTGAGGCATCTTTTTGGATTCAAATCTGAAGTACTGCACAATCCTGTTAGAAAGTTAAATGCTATAGAATTGTTTGTAATATCACATAACAGTATTTTACCTTAAATTTCCTCTTATGCCATGAAAGTATTGGGATTTTTCTTTAATTTTTTTTTTTAAGAAGTCAAGCATCACAGCAATTCACCAGACACTCATATTAGTAGTCCGGGAATGCATAGGAGTGAATTATTTTAAAATTAGATGAAAATAAAATACAGTAAGAGTAAACAATTAGTAAGTGTTTTACATCAAAACTCTAGATTGGTTGCCTGTGCTTTTGGCTGAACTAGGGAGCATTGTCAATCAGCTATTTGATGAAAGGAGACATGAGGACCAATAGAAAACCAGTGAGTTATAGGAAGTTAGTTAAGGAAGCAGATTTGCCAGTACAGTGGTAGATTGAGAAGTCTTGGAATAGAGAGTATGATAGACTGTCGTTCCTGGTATTGGTTTGCTTCCTTATTAGCTTTGTAGCCTGCCTTCCCTAGAGAAGCTCAAGGCAGCTTACTTAGGCATCTTCCTTCATTTTATTCCCACACCAAAAGCCCTGTCAGGCAGATTGAGCTGAGAGAATGTACTAAGCTGTATTAAATAATATTTAATATCAGCCTTTGATAATATGGTAGTAAAATCTGTATTTCCATTCTTCTCATATTGTCTGCACCTCATAAGGATTGGGATATTCTTGTAGTCAGCACAGGTGGGGAGAGAGTTCCTCACATTTTCAAAGAATATTTGATAGCCTTGAACACTGTATTGAAAGAAAGGCAGATAGGAAAGTAGGACTTTTTATACTCCTTTCCTGTAGTGGAAATATGTCTGAAATAAGAAGATCTGTTATTGCAGCCACAAAATCTCCATGTACATTATGTCCTTGCGGTGTCATCTAGTGGATCATATCTAAGTGATGAGTGACCTATTGCAGTCTGGCCCAGAAAGACAGATAGCTATTATCTTTTGAAAGTCTCTGTGAGCAGTATGCAGGATGCTTTGATCACATCCATCACAGCTTAGCCTTTGGAATTAGTTCAATATCTTTAGTGTAGATGTGCAGAGCATTGTCCGATTCAATTGTATTGGATGAGTTTCAGTTGCTGAAGTCTAAGTATGTTGAAAAGATGCTTGGTCATGCTTGGCCAAACATTTGCATTATTCGACCCTTGCCATTTTTAGTTTGCTTTATTTAATAGGGAGAAACCTGATTTGAACCTAAGCAACTGTTGCTGCTGTTGTTGCTCATCAGGCCCAGGCATATTTGGATAAAACTGATTGTTTTGAACCATTTCAGACCAGTTGCAGGTCTGATTTTGGAAGTGAAATTGTCTTGTTGTTCCAGTGGGATGATCTGTTCTAGGAGAAGATGCAATCCTGTTGGGTCTGTTAGACCTCTTCTCCACGCCCAATGCAAAGAATAGCATACTTTTATAACTATATTCCATATATCTGATAGGGTGGCTGAGATCCACAAAATGTACGCGGTAATACTTTTGCTAGTCTTTTAAGATGCCATAAGATGATTAATTTTGGATCCCTCAGGAGCTTTCAGCATCTTCCACTATAGCATTCTTTTATATAGGCTGTTTTAGTTGTAATGTGATGACAGTATACTACATTGATTTCTTCTCCTACTTGGTTGGCTATTTTAGAAAGTGATGCTTTGAGTTTGTCTTTCCCTTTGGCAATTATGTGATGGGATTCCAAATATGAGATACCACTGGCTTTTTAAATCTATAGGAAGCCACTGGAAAGATTATCAAGGGATATGAGCTGAGGTGTCACCAAAATCCATATGACATCCACCTTTACCTCTCTTTTAACCTTCCTTCTCATCTAACCACAGCAAGGTAGTTGATTATCTCAAGGACTGCCTTTTTCGAGCAGTGGGACCAAAATGAGATTGAATCCAGACATATCTCTGTTTACCTCCCCAGTTAAGTGGTGATTGTTTTATTTTGCAACAGGTTGCGCTTTTCCTGAAGGGTTTGTTGAATAGCTTGGAATATATTAGTTTCCAACAAAGCCAGGGAGACCTATGCTTTGCAGCAGTTACTCACATCTGGTAACTTCCTCTTTGGACTATTGCAGGGAGCAGGGGATGCCTTTGAAATTGGTCCAGAAACTTCAAATAGTTCAGAATAGGGTGGTTAGGCTACTGACTGGGAATGGCTAATATGACCATATTATGTCAGTGTTTTGCCATATTTTCTGGCTGTGAGTCAGTTTCTAGACTCAATTTGGAGAGCTATAGTGCTTAAGGCCAGGCTGTCTGAGAGAGGCATCTCCTGCCATATTCACTATCAGAATGATAGGATTTGCACTTGACGTGCTTCTCTAGATATTCCTGCAGAATGAGAGAAGATGAGCAACTTTCAGAAAAAAGGCTTTTCTGGTAGTGGTGTCCCAGCTATGCAATACTTTCTTTAGAGAGGGAAGACTGTTGTGGTCTTTTCTGCATCATAATAAAAACTTTTTTTTTCCCCCAAGTTGAAAATTACTTTGACAATTTACAGTGCTGGTGTTTTGTAAATACTATTACTACAGCTACACCTATATGCTTGCTGTTTCTTATGCAGGGTTTAATATAATGTATTGTTAAAAACAATATAATGCTTTTATATTTTTATATAATTTTACGACTTACATCTTAATAACACATTTAATGGATTGTATAGAGAATTTCTGTTAGGTAATGCAAATATGCATAATCGTTAAAACATTAAGAATAACATGGCAGCAGTTGTTCTCTGCTGTGAAATTATTGGGAGAATAATATGATGTGAAGTGGGAAGAGACAAGGAGAGTAAACATTTAAAAGGCTGAATAATGAAAGATAAACCAAAATTGAGAGATCTGATGTTTATTGGTAAGATTAAACACCTGGATCATATAGTGCAAGCATGCTTTAATAGAATAAACATGATGTAGATAGCATTATTCTTTATAAGGAAGGTGAGCAATCTTCCACTGTCAGAGAAAAATAATGAACACTAAAATCTGGCCTGCTTTTGGATGCTATAAATTTCTGCTGCTAATGATGATGTGCATTGCTAAAAGCTGACAACAGTATCATTTCACTTCGTTACTAGTGGATCAAATACAGAAGGAGATCTATTTCATATTTCTGAATTCTAATTCTAGGTATGACTAATTATTATTGGGGTACTGTGACGCAGGTGGTCTGAGCAAAGGTATTTTCACCATACGCTGTAAAACTATAAAGAAAAGATGCCCAGAGTTCTTGGGCAAACCATTAACTGTTAGACTTCTTTTGTTAATGGGAATAGTTAATCTAAGGCAGGGTTCCTCAACCTTGGCCACTTGAAGATGTGTGGACTTCTGCTGGCTGGGGAATTCTGGGAGTTGAAGTCCTCACATCTTCAAGTGGCCAAGGTTGAGGAACCCTGATCTAAGGAACAAGAATAGAAGAGTTCTGATTAAGAACATTTATTAGAAGGAATGTTCTAAATGTTACATGTACATAGAGGCAATTTAGGTGGTAACGCTCTTTCAATGTATGGGGCTAGAAGTCTGCCTTTTTTCTGAAGCAGGGTTCCCTGTTTTGATCACTGTAATTCCTTTCAGTGTGAGAACTCTCACATTAGCTCAGTAAAGGTCTAGTGGATGACACATGAGCACACTGAATTACTAATCTGAGGAGTTCTTGGCTGCTTAATTCCAGGCTAACTAGAACGTCACTCTGGGTTGCAGAACAAGAAGAGAAATTATTTAGTGTTTTATTCTGTACTGCTGGGTCTCAAATGTTCTGCTTTTTGTAAAAATACTGGCTCTGTTTTGGGTACTTAGCTCTTAAACCGCTGGAGAAATAAGTTTTCTTGTTGAAGGAAAGTGCTCCTGTTGTTCTAACTAGTGCTATGGTTTCAATACTTCAGTAATGTTGTTTAAAATAACATACTTTTGAAAATATGGTTTTGCTTAGCTGTTGTTTGATCACCTTTATGACTTTACATCTGGGGAAAGGAGAAGCAGGCTACTATTAACCAGGCAGGGATGTTCTTGTGACCATATTCATATGCTGCTGCTTTTAACCAACCAGCGTAACAATGTTGAGTTGACTGTTACTTTTCTGTATTAGAAAAAAATGTTTTTAGGTTAGCACGTGTGTGTGTATGTGTGTATAAATAATAGCTTGCATATTATTTTATCTATTGTTTTGTTTTCTGAAGGTTGCAATCCCCATTGAAGATGTAAACCGCAGTCACCTAAGGTTTACATTCCGGCACAGATCATCACAGGATTGTGAGTAATTAACACCCCACCCACTGTTATTTTTTTAAAGCTTGAGTCTACTTTGAAGAAGAGTTTTCTTTCTAATTTGAAGCCCTTTTCTTGTGGCCTCCTATCTTGATGCTTTTTGCCATAGTTTCTTCCTCTTTACTTTGGTTCAAAGTAAAGCCAGTTAGTAATATTGGGTATATGCTTCTTAGAGGCTGGTATTTGGGATGTTTTTATAGAGAAAATAAACTAACTTGCTTGCACTGTTAATGGGCTGCTGTGATTTTCATTAGTCGTGAAGTCTATGGGAAAGCTTGTTAGCATTTTACTTACAAGCCAAGTATTGACTTCACTTGTTAATGTTTCTGTTTAAAGTCACTACATTTAAATAGGACAAACTAGTGTTCAGCTTGTTTTATATTTATTATTCATGCAGTTTTGAGATTAAAAAACATGTTTTACTAGTTTGTGATAATAACAAGGCTGATTTCACTAATGTTACTGAATCTGCTAAAAACCTAGTTTGAATTTTTATTGTAATATTGTCAGAAAAATCAAAGTTTTAATCATGTAATCTTCATTGCTTATATTTAGAACTTGTAACATTTGACATCTTCATAATGGTTAGTGCTTATGTAATTAAAGAACTACTGCTTTGATGTAAAATTAATCACTGAATGAAAGCAGTACTTTTAACAGAAAATTTAACAATTTCACTACTGAAAACATGATGCAGTAAATTACTGTTATATTTATGACTGTTAACTACAAGTTGGTTCAGGAGGAAGCATTTACATTAAGTTGCAGCAGTTCATGGGTGGCCAAAGTTATTAACCTTTAGATTAGTATAATCTTTATGCTGTAGGGTGTAGGACTGCAACAGTGCTTTCTCATACATCTTTTAAGCTGCCACTGGGTTGAACAAGGTTGTCCTTCAAATTCTCCTTCTCATCTTTGTTTGCGCTCCAATTTGTCTACCTTCTGGAAAATGCTGTAGATAGAGCTTTACTGGAACTCTTTCTGGACCTGTCACCATGGGTTTTAATTTCTTATGTTTTTATGTATTTATTTTGTTATTATAGCCTTATTTTGAGAGGACTGAGAGTCCTGTGATTCTGGTGGGATGTAAATTTTATTAATTAATAAATAAGATGTTAATCCTGCTTTATATAAATGTTAAGTTATTCTGGTAATGGGAATCAAACTTTATAGCAAAAGCTGACCTTTTGCTTTGTTCCTCTAAAGTAAAGTCACAAATCCTGTTCAATGTGCAGAATGTGGAGGCTTAAGGGGGAAAAAGGTGGTACTGATACCATGTAACACATGCCAAGGTTGAAGTTTAGAAGGTGGGAAGAAGGAAGGTTGGGAACAGAGAAGTTCTTTATGAAAACACCACAGGTAGTCCTTGCTTAAGAACCATTTGTTCAACAACCATTTGAAGTTATGATGGTGCTGAACAAATGGTACTTATGCCCAGTCCTTGAAGTTACAGACGTTGCAGTGTCCCCTTAGTCACGTGATCACAATTCAGGCACTTGGCAGCCTCCCCACATTTACGACCACAGAGTGCACTTCAGCTTCCCCTCCCACCTATCTCCCCCATCTCTGCCCTTTTGACCACGCTGCACTCTGTTGCCCTGCCGCCCTGTGCTCCATCACCGCTGCTAGCCATGTCACCCTGAACTCCACCGCCCTGTGTTCTGTCGCCCCCGCCACCCTGTGCTCTGCCACCCCTGCCACATCTGCCTCATGAAGGGCCAGGCTGGGCGCATCTTGTCAGACAGGAGGAAGAAGACTGTGAAAGTCAGTTGGGGGCGGCAGGGGTGGCAGAGCACAGGGCTCCTTGTACACCCTACCACCCCTGGCAGCAGCCACCCTCACCCTGGCTGTGCCTGCACAGCGCCACAGCAGCTACTTGCATGCCCTCCCGTCCCTAGCAGCAGCCACTCCCGACCCAGCTACACTTGTGTGGCGCTGCGGCTGCTGGTTGCGCACTCACCAGTCTGCTTGCGAGCTGCCTGGGACTTGCGATTTCCTTCTGGCTTCCCTACTGACTTTGCTGTTGGAAGGTGGCAGGAAATCACAAGGAGCTCCTTAGTTAATGACCCGTGATCCTCATTAACGATGGCCATGGGGACTGTCAGGATTGCCGTTGCTAAGCGATGCTGTCAGATGACATATTTGGCAATGGAAATTCCGGTCTCAGTTGCTGTCATTAACTGAGGACTTACCTTTATGCAGATAGCTGCAGTAGTCAAATTTGAGAAAAGAGTAGATATCAGTCCTTCAGGGAGAAAGAAACTCAGGATTTAATCATACATTGTGTGTGTGTATGTATGTGTGACTGGACTCTTTAGCTTGGTAGAAGCTGCACTTTGTCTCATTTATATTTTTGTGACTGCAGTAAAGAAATTTTACATATTCAAGTTGAAAATCAGATTTCCTGTCAGTGTGCTGTGTTCCAGAGAGAATTATTGCAAGCATCTGAAGGCTACCTTGACAACACACAGGAAGAGGTTTGGAAATAATGGAGCGAGAAGCAACTGGAGAATGGTTTAGGCTTCTGCAAAATGGATGTGGCAATCCTGATCTGTTTCAAAACGCTGCATGCAAATAATATGAATAATAATAGATAATTTATTATTATTATTATTATTATTATTATTATATTGCATGCTCTTTAATATAACTAAGTTGTGAGTAGGTAGCTTTATAAATTTTATTTATTTATTGATAAATAAATAAATAACATATAATTTGATACAAAAAATACCGTTCATTTTAATATGAACAGGAATAGTTCCTTAAGGTAAAGAATCACTGTTTTGAAACTAAGTATTATTTCTGGTTTGATTATCAGAAATACAGGCTGTCAACGTATTTGCTCATGTATGCATTCTGAAATTCTTTTTCCATGAGGAGATGAAACTCCCTGGCTATGAATATTATAGTTTATTATTTATTAGACTTGTAATGCTAGAATAAGTAATAGCAAGAGATTAGTATCTAAAAGGTATGTGAAATGCCATGTTCCTACCCTGTCATATTTTGGAATGGAAACTGTTAACAAAGAATGAAGACTTCAGCTCATATTCAGTTGCCAATAGGGCCAGTGGAGCCTGAAGACTTCCCCTCCTTCATCCATCTCTTTTCATTCTTATTGCCATTAACATGGATTCTGTGAGTTTTCTAATGGATTGCTCTGGCCAAAGCTTGTAAGTGATCTTGTGAGCAGTTTGTGTGACTGTGCTTGAAGTAGGTTGCCTTTGAGGCAAAAATAAAGGACTATTAGTATCTGTTTCTCTGTCTTCTGGATAATTATGCATGTGGGATGACTGTGGTGTCGGCTTTGACGTCTGCAGCCTCTTAGAATTATAATAAGGATCTGTTGAGATATACAAAGTTTCAGCATAGGCAGTTCAATGGAATGTGGATTTTGTGTATTTGTTCAATGTGTGCAAATAAGCAATGGAATTTTGTCTGATGTTTATACTTTGAAGCACAATACGTGGACAGAAATAAATCCTGTTGATTTTAATAGCATTTATTTTAGTGCTTGCATATGTATGTATGCATTATTTTAATAGCATTCAATATCCAGATAACTGTATCTGGATGTTATATCTTTTTGGTTCCAGCACTATCCACCCTTGGCCTTGATAAAACCTTGGATGAATTTAGGCAGACAATTTGGGTCCACCACATGCAAACTGATAAAGCCAGAGATTCCCATCTCTACTACAGTATAATTTCCCCCTCCACCTGGATTATTCCTAGATATTTTTTAAACATTTTATATATCCCATGCAGTTTCTCCCTGGCCTGATTGATGCAATACCTATTAGTGTGATAGTGGGCAGATATATCACCTCCCTTATAAAAACCATACTTCTGTATGTTCTAGTATGGAGGTTGAATATGTATCACACATACTGTTGAAATGCCCACTGTATATTCAGTGGGGAACAGATTTTGTATTACCAATTGCCAGAAATGTATCTGTTCTTATGATCATGAGGTTACCAGTCTCCTCAAAATGCTCCTCAAAAAAGGGGGGGGGGAAACAATCATTATTTAAAAAAATTAAAACAAGATATAATTTGCCTATAAGAGACACATATTAGAAAAAAGGACATAAATATTTGATTTATAAAAATTTGGGTGAAGAATGTATTTCAGCAGGAACAAGAATAATAGTAATAAAAAAAGAAATGGAGTTGTTTTGTATATAAATCCCCAACTAAAACCAGAACTTATACTGACTGGTGAGCATGGTAGATTTGTTGGGGTGTAAGTTAAGTTGCACAGGACTAAGACTTTGATACTGGAAATTATTGCCCAAATGAGGATAGAATACTGTTTTATAAAGGACTTATGGAGAGCTCAAGAGGTTTCTCTTACGAAAATGGGTGTTTGATGGGGGATTGGAATGGAGTGATCTCCTCACAGCTGGATAGAACTTCTAAGAAACATGTTAAAATCATGGATGGCAAATTTCCAAACATTATCTTTGATTTGATGGACAATTTAGGGCTGGTTGATGTATGGAGGCAGAAAAGTGGCAATTCAAGAGAGTATACCCACTTTTCTGAAAGACATACATCTTTTTCAAGAATAGATATGATTTGGATTTCTAAATGCTTTTTGTATAATGCTTCCCTCCCTCCCTCCCTCCCT